CTGTCTAAGAGGTTCGTCCTCTATTCAGCATGTTTTGATGGACACTCGAGGGGTGTTTCCTGGCTGGTGAGCAAGTCTCTGGATGCGGTGTGTGCTCTTGTCTTCGTGGATCCGGCGGGCAGGCTTTGCGTGCTGGATGTTACCATAAAGGATAAGGCTCTTCGTCTCATTGGGGTTTATGCGCCCAATGACCATGCGCAGCGGCCTGGTTTGTTTCGGCAGATCGAGCCGTTTTTGACGACTTCTCGTTCGGTAGCTCTAGCGGGTGATTGGAATGCAGTCCTTGATCCCGATATAGATCGTATAGGGCAAAAAACCAGTACTAACAATCCGGATGTGAAATCGTTTCGGGGCTTTATCGACGGGTTTGATCTCGTCGATAAGTACCGAAATGAAACACCAGGGAGGTAGCATGGACTTGGACTAGGGGCGGCAGCTCAGATTCAGTGGTTAGCGTAAGCTACATCGACCGAGTTCTAGTTAAGAGAGTCGAAGTAGGGCTCTTAGAATGTCCAAGTTTCCATTTTATAGTTTACTCGGATCATAGGCTTGTCAGGGTTCGGGTAAACTTAGATAAGCCTAGGGTTAAGATGGCTGGTTACTGGAAATTAAACTCATCATTATTCGGTGAGCAAGATTTCCGGGACCAGCTTTTACTAATGTTACAGCGGGAATTGTTGGGGGCTGTGGTTGGGAATAAGCGGCGGGGCTCTTTGAAATCAAAACTTAGGTCTTTTGCTGCTGATTTTAGTCGACGACTCAATCTAGCAGGGCTAGCAGCGCAAAAGTCTCTTGAGGCTAAAGTAGATCGGGCGATAAAATCCCGTGTTAGTGGGGACATAGCCTTAGCTAAGGCGGAGCTGGCCTCCTTGCTTATCAAGAAGGATGAAGCTCTAGTAGTTAGGGCTAGGATAAAAAGAATGTCTTGTGAGGCTACGAATATGGCCGCTTCATTGCGTTCAGATGAAGCTCGTAGGGCATCTAGTCGGCATATCGCAACCATCACATTGCCGGACAAGCGGACTGTGACTACAGACGCGGGCATTTGTGAGGCTTTTCGTGACTACTTTCATGAGCTTTTTACCAGGGAGCCCGGTCTGAGCCCTGCTCAGTTCGATGCCTATTTAGCCGACTTTCCCTGCCTTAAGGCGGCTGAAGCGGCTAGGTGCGAGGGTCCCATAACAGAGTCTGAGATCTGGGATTCGCTGAAGCAGGTTGGCCTGGACAAGACTCCGAGATTGGATGGTCTCCCCTATGAAATGTACTTGAGGCAGTCGCCCGTCTTTGCCCCTTTGCTGGCACTGATTTTCAACAACTGGATGAGGCAGGGGTCTATTCCTCAACGCTTCACCAGGGGTGTGATCAAGTTGCTTCGCAAGAAGAAAGACGGTGGGGATGGGGTAGATAATTATCGGCCTTTGACGATGTTAAATACAGAGTTGAAGATTTTAGCCAAGGTCTTAGCTGACCGTTTGCAGGTTGTCCTCTCTAGTCTGATTGGTCCCGAGCAGTCTTGCGCTGTGAAGGGCAGGACTATTCAGGACAATTTTCATTTGGTACGCTTGATCATCGAGAAAGTCGACAGTGATGCCGCGCTGATCAATTTAGATCAGTCCAAGGCTTTCGATAGGGTTGACCATCGGTTTCTGGAAGCTGTCCTTTCGGCCGCCGGTTTCAGGCCGCACTTTCGCACTTGGATCCGACTGCTGTATGCGTCCCCCGGTGCGCTGGTAGAAGTGAATGGGGTAGGATTGAAACCTTTCATTTTGTCTCGCTCCATTCGTCAAGGTTGTCCGCTGTCTCCATTGCTTTACGTTCTTGCGTTGGAACCTTTCCTGCGTAAGTTGAAGACGAATCCGGTCCTTCGCGGAATTTCCTTACCTGGTGCTACCACCTCGGCCAGGTACTCCGCCTATGCTGATGACGTTTCGGTTCTGGTGTCGAGTAGAGCCGAAATTAACGGTCAGCAAAGAAATCAAGGGTTATGAGATGGTGACAGGGGCCAAGATCAACCGCGTTAAGTCTGTTGGCTTGCGGTTGGGTTCGCGGAAGGGAGTTTCTCTTCCCGGACCTTTCCTCTAATCGGCGTCTGGTTCAGTCCCGACCTCCTGTTGGAAATGAATTGATCGGAGGTGCAAGAGAAGGCCGAGCTCGCAGTACATCTGTGGACTCGGAGGAATCTTTCCTTGAAGGGGAGGGCGGAAGTATGTGCCTTGCACATCTACCCGATTCTCCTTTAATGATTCTCCGTGCTTCCACTCCCGTCTGACACTTTATTGGCCTTTGTAAGGCTCTTGTTCTTCTTGTGGGGAGGCAGGGCCGCCATGGTTAGTCGTGAGATCTGTTACCTCCATCCTTCTGATGGCGGTCTGGGGGTGCCTTGCGTTGAGACTCGTCGACATACGCTTCGCATTACTTATCTAGACCGGATGTGTATGCAACTGGATGAGAACGGCGAATTTTGGAAGGAAAACGCCCATAAACATTTTCCATCCTTGAGAAATGGGCGCTCGTGTGAGGAGGAGGCCGGTCGTACTCTTCGAGGCGAGGGCTCTTTCTATCGTGAATGTCGGATTGCCCTCAAGCGACTCTTACGGGCGAAGGATGACCTCTCCGACGTCCAGCCGTTGTCTCGTAAGGCATTATATCAGGTGTTAGTTAGGGGGAACGTTCAAGATGATCTGATAGGCGATCTCGGTCTGACGAAGTGGGAGGCTCGCTGCATATGCCCTTGGGCGCCCGGGTTGAAATGTCTCACTAACCCTGAGGCATCACTCACCTGGCTGGTGATTCGAGAGGCCCTTTGGGTGGCCAAAAGACTTCGCGCAGCGGGTTTGGCTAAGTCGCCAAACTGCGTTCACTGCAGTGGGGAGGTGGAGACCCTAGGTCACGCCTTCTTTCATTGTAGTGTCGTAGTTCCGTTGTGCAAGTTTGTTGAAGATATCATGGTTCGCATGCTGCGTGGAAAGTTCTTTGCCCTCGAGGCCAGTTCCGTCTGTAGCAATATGGTACCGCCGTTGACTAAGGCTGAGCACTATGTGTTCCTTTGCTTGCTAGGGATTATGCGAGTCGTGATATGGACGACGCGACAGAAGGGATTTCATGGGGACGAGAAGTTTACCTCTTCCCAACTGATCTTGTTCTTTAAGCATCAGCTTAAAGTCAAGATCAGGAAGGAAAGGAAGCGACTCCATCCATTGGAATTTGGCGAAAGGTGGGCGAGTCTTGCGCGTCTCTGCAGAGTGAAAGGTGCTGACTTGGAGTGGCATTTTGATGCCGGTTGGACATTAAGAATTTTGGGATCGCCGGGGTGAACATTGGCAACCCCTCCCGTGTATAGGTTAGTTTAGGTCTGTTTTGTTTTAGTTACCTTTTCTCTTTTTTTTCCATGTTAACTTATCTAGGGTATGTATGCGCAATTGCCCCTTTTATTTCTGGCCCTATTTTTTCTTTTGTTTAATTCCCCATCCCTCCCATCGTTAGGTGGTTAGTGATATCAGTTCTCTGGTGGGTGTGGGGAGCCTTTTCGTTTCGAGTATGTCTTTCGTATTTGTTGTTGTGTTAGATTGAGTATGTGTTTGTAACGAGTGCATGGATTGTACGAATGTTTTATAATTTTTTTAAGTCCCGCTTTGATTTCGTCCAGTTAACTGATGTTACTGCCACAGTTAGAGCTGTGGGGGTTTTTACTACTAACAAAATTTTTGTTTAGTTTCTTGTATATAGATTTGTATTCATTGTAAATATTCATTGGGGTTTTTAGATGTTATTTTATTTCCCCTCACCCCGCAGACAATGATTTGTATATATGGGGACTAGTTAGAACTTCATAGAGTCTCTGAGGCATTTTGGTGGATGTAGGATGAATGGTATGTAATGGATGTGTTGTTTTGGTGAAAGGAACATTGTTTGTATGTTTGGGTCAGTGATTGCGTCTAGCTAAGTTTAAAGTTAAGACAGAAGATGACCATCCTTTCCCCCTTTCGGCCTTGTGCCACATTTGTACATAGTACAATAAATAATTACAAGGAAACAGAAGGCAGCCATGTTGGCAGGTAAGTCACTTGACTTCTACAAGATGGAGTAGATATAGATTCATATCTTTCCCAAGGGTAGTTGTTCAAAAGTGAATACAACATCCAAGAATAACTGCAATCAATATCGGCACCAATTTGTAGTAACTGATCAACATGTCAGCCAATAGGAAACATTTCATACAGTAAGTTTTCTCACTGATCTATTGCTATTTCCATGGAAAGTGCTCAGATGAACTACATTCCCTGGTTCCAGCAGTTCAAACCTTCATGGCTATGACCCACCATGCCACTTACATTGTAGCAAACCACCCACATTCCCTCCATGTTCTATTGCTGAGAAGTAAGTTCCACTTGAACAGCTTCTTTCCCCAAATGACTGCCCTGGGGAACAGACACCCAAGAGGATGTTCCCCCTGATCACTTCAATCTTAATCTGTTCAATCCTAGGGTTAACCATTATATTATCTCTTCCTACTCATATAAACTGCCTCTTAATGTAACCTTATACATCGAGTGAAAAGGGCCTTGTACAGCATGAACATTACTGTAAAAAAAAGTACATAATATTGGAGACTGAATTTAAAGTAATTGTTATATTTTTGTTAGATAAAAAGATATTTGAATGACCTTGTTGGTCAGTCAAAGTCACAAAAGGTAAGTATAGGTAGAAATATTTAATTTTATTGAGATATATGTGAGAAACAAATAAAGAAAAAAAAAATTAAATTCCCCACTCTACGGCTCTTTTGTAGCCCCCCGCCCCATTAAATAAAAAAAATCATTAAGATCATCTCCAACTCCCAACAGAAATTCTGACATCCATTTTCCTGTTTGTAAATCAAATCAAGAACTTGTTTTCGGAAGCTCTTTCGTCGTGAATAAAACCAGGTGCAGGCCAGAGGGAAGGGTCGCTACAGACAGGGTACAATAATTGCATAGGAATGAGAAAGTAAAAGACAGACAATGAAGGGTGGTGGGGGCCCACCAACTAGTAGATTAGACTGTACTCCCCAGGTCCCTTGTTCTCTCTTTGCTCTTTCTCTTTGTGTTGTCTTTTGGGAAGAGGTCGTTATTCTGCGTTAAAAGTGAGAGAGCAAGTAAATCTGAGCTCCTTCTACTCACCTATATGATACACATGAACGTAGTTAGGGAAACACTAACAGGAAGAAACTGACATCAATACGAGAAGCTATTAACAAATGTCGATTGTTTTTACAGCTTACATGATTCTTACTTTCTACTCAGAATTTTTTTTTTCCTTTTATTCTCTTCTCAACCTCTATTTTTTTTTTTTTGTCGTCCCCTTTCTCCGCTTTCAATTTGCATTGTTTTCTTTCATTTGGCTTCTTGATTCCTTTTGTCTTCTTTCTCACTTTTTCTTTATTTTTTTTATACTTTTAAACACACCCGCCTATTTATTCTTTTACTATCCTTTTCAAATATGTCTTTATTTGTTTTGTTTTACAGGGGAAAGGGAGTCTTTATTTCCTTTCCATCCTTCCTTAACTTTATTACCTTTAACTTCATCTTCTTCAATTTGAATTCAGTCTTTTTCTTTCTGTGTCTTTTTTCTCTGCCCCTCCCCCAAACTATCACTGTTCTTTTTTTCATACATACATTTTCTTTCTACTTAGCTTCTAATTATTTTTCTCATTTAAACTTGCCTTCTTTTTTATTCTCTTTTTTCTATCACACTTTTATTCCTTATTCTTACCAGCCTTTTTAACTGTGCCACCATTTGAAATTATTTTAACAATGCAGACAAAAAAAATGGAACCCTTTTGACAACTCTTTATCTATATAAAAAGATAAAGAGTTGTCAAAATAGCCTAAATTGAGAGAAATCAGTTTTTAATTTTCCTTTTTAAACTGTAGAAAACATTTATTCACTGATAATTAAATTAATTTTCACATTAAAGAATCTCTACTCAAAATTCAAGTTTAGTTTTATTTTACACAATATCCGTTATTTTAGACATCTTCAGTAGAGTATCCCACCTCACATAAATTCTATGCACATACTCTAAAAAAATAAGTTATATGACGCATGCATATGCTGGTGTTGCAGATTGAATTATCTTGTAGATAAACAACTAATGGTCACAGAAGTTGAAAGATTGTGAGCCTACTTGCCCTTAAAAATCTCCATTCAAAATCTTGGCTTTATCTATTTGAGATAATTTAAAAGTTTTAAGTGATAGCAGACAAAGATCAGAAACCACAGTTGTTATCCATTTAAATTGGAAAAGCTATAAAGACCAGTTGCTTGCATGAATTTATATCAAGAGTAACTTTGGTTGTAGTTTCTCCGCCAAGGTCATAAAACTGTACAAATGTTTTAGCAACGAGTTTAATCATTTTATCACTTCACCAAGACTTTTCCACCACTTATGGCCATATAACATTGAAATACGATTTCCCATAAGGTCATGGAAGTTAAGCAATGTCAAGCCTGGTCAGTATCTATATGGGTGATTGCTTGGGGATACCAGGTGCTGTTAGCTTCAATGTGCAGGTAGTGTAATGCATAAAAACTCAAAAATGTTAACTGGTGAGCTGAGTTCCAATTATAGTTGGGTTTGTTATATTTACTTACACACAAATGCCCTTAAGAAAAGTATGAATCCACCACTTCCCCCAGCTATGGGTTAATTAGTAAAACTTGTATCACTACACCATTATCTAAAAAAAATAATGAAGAAAACAAGTTCTTACAATCTAAAAATGTTTTCTGGCTTTAAATAACCTGCAAATGGGTTGATAAGCAATAGAAAATGAATCCATCAATCAAGACTCAAACAATCAAAACACACACACACATAGTTGTGTTAAAAACAAGTTAAAGAATCTGTTGTGTGTATTACCCTTTTCCTAGCTGATATTTTAAAAAGCTAAGTACCTAAACATTTTTTTAAAATCAAATTCACCTCAATAAGGCAGTAAGGTCACTAAGACACAAGAGGTTACTGAGTGCAGAAGAATGGGAAAACAGAAATATTATTAAGGAGCAAGAACAATAAAAGAGTAATCAGTAAGAGAGTAGATAACAACTGACATTGCATTTACATTTTTTAAAATCAAAGTTGACTGGAAAGCATGGAGCTAGAAGAGAGTTCCACAAGTGAGAAGTGAGAGAAAAGAAATTGTTAGCATAGAAGTTGCACATTATTTACATTATTCAAACTATTGTCCTCATCTTTGTTGCCATATTTATTACAATGTTTCAGCCAATGTACGCTCCGGCCTTCTTCAGGTGGTTGGAATGTCGAACTGAACCCTTTATTTCACTCACTGGGGTAGACTGTTCTTGTTCTACGTGCCATGTTTGATGGATGTCAGTTATCAGTTATCTCCTGTTAATTTCCCTCTGAAAGTTTTCCACTGCCTTAACAAAGTATTGAACTCACACTCTTTGGGTCCTGTCACTGGATATAACCAATGCCTTTATCCACTGTGCCATGTGTCCTTGACAGTCCAACCACTTGAAGAAGACTGGAGTGTACAACGGCCGAAACATTGTAATAAATATGGCAATGAAGATGAGGACAATAGTCCGAATAATGTAAATAATGTACATAATACCTCATCTCAGAAATATAGACATAGAACTTGCAGTTATATTCAGCCAATTCAACTGTAAATTGATGAGACCTAATTGCCAGTTTAGTACTGCACTTAAATTCATTAAGCTTAGATTTCATAGGAAAGAGCTCATTTGAATAATTACCATGAAAGTATTTATAGAAAAGGCTCAGGGAAGCAACTTGACAATGGTGGAAAAGTTACTGAAGCTGAGATGCCATGTCAGGACCAATAATATTGCTGATTTTTTGTACTTTATCAAGAATCTCAAAATATATAGCAGGATCATTGGACCATATGTGGTAGCAATATTCTAAGCATGGTAAACAAAATGGTAAACTTATAGGTATGTAAGATACATTCTGGAGAGAAAAATTGTCTGGAATGACACCGTGAACCAACTTTCTTAGCAGTTGACCTAGCAATGGATTCAATATAGCTCAGCATCAGCCATGCTGTTGGAAGGCAAAAAAGGTTCTCAGATGATTTAATAGAGTAGGGTTTAGTTTTAGAGGTGTTAAAATCAACAAGCCACTCTTTGCCCCAGTTAACACCAGACAACAGATCATTTTTGATATCAACCATCAATTTGAATTTATCAAGCTGAACAAACTCACTATCAAGCCAGGAGTAAATTGCTGTATCATCAGCATATATATCAAGTTGACAGTTGATGCCACAAAGAATGTTACTAATGAAAATTAGAAACAAAGTAGGACCAAGGATAGAGCTCTAGAGGATATTTTCATTAATACAAAAGGATCTAGAAGAGTGGCCATTCAGGATAACCTTCATTTCACAATTTGATAAGGAAGACAATCAGTTTAAAAAAATTTTTCTGGAGACACCATAACTTTTCAAATTGTGAACAAGACCTGTAGGCCAAATGCCGTTGAATGCTTTCTAGATGTCTAAAACAATTTGCCATTCTCATCTATAGCTTGACAGATTTGACTGACCTATACAATTGACAATAGATCAGCAGTTGAAAGCCATATTGCTTGTCTGAAAGAAGGTCCTGTGATGTGAGATGCTTAACTAATTCAGCATTGATTAGGAACTCTAATAGTTTACCAAAAAGAGGCTGTACATTCAAACAAAGACACATGGTCCTGCTACCAGAAAGTAACAAGTGATGTTACTGTATAACACTCCCATTAGTCTTAATAGTTATAGAAAGTAGATTTGTGGAGGTTGGGGAGAAAGGCAAATCATGTGAGATGGGAGACAACCAGTAAATAAGACTGAACCATTCAGTTTCAGTTGGACAAAAAACAACTTGTAACAAACAAATAATATGAAAGAAATGTACAAGTGTGACTGGTATATAAAATATCCATAACTTTTCAGGACATTGAAATATGTCCTGATTGTAAAGGCTGCATTTTCAGAGATGTCAACACAATGTCTTTTTACAGTGACAAAATAATGTCAAAAGACCAAGCCTTATGAGCAATGTCTGGAGAGAGGAAAAAGATGAAGAAAGGTTTTCTGACACTTTGTATATGCTCCTGCAAACGATTCATATTGGTTCCATGGTAACCTAACATGAAGTCTCTTTTTGGCAATGGAAATAACCCTGACATGCCGAGGTTTTCAATTTCTGCTAAACTCCACAAATCAGCCCAATAAAGAATGGGATAGTAAACTTTCTCAGGTCAGTACGCACATCAGATCCAGAAAGGGTCAATGTTGGGTGATGTGAACGTGTTTTACTTCTCATATAAAATATTATGATCTTCATTTCTAAAGGCTTCAATCATTTTCAGAAACACTGTCTTGAAAAAAAAGAAAAAAAGAAAAGAAAAAAAGTCACTTCACAAAGGTTCATCTGGTAGAAAACTTTACTGCTTCAGATAAGGAAGTTAGAATGGGATTATTAAAAGCATGGGCTCTGGGAATCTCAGCAGATAGGAGAGAATGGTTGATAAAGAGAAGGAAAATTTAACATTTCTGGTAAGGTTTTTTTTTTTTTAATGGATTTGGTTGGGAAGCTCTTTACTTTTTATTTGTTTTCTTTTCATTATTCTGTAGCTCTTCAATGCTTTCTTTTTTCTTCTTTTCATTTTTTTTTACATCTTATTTTTTTATCCTCCTTTTATTAATGCCACTATATTTCTTAATCTTTTCTCCTCATTTTCTTGCTTTATTCTCTCTTTTATTAAATCTCTTTTTTTCTATCATTATCAACTGGTGTGTCCCTCTCATCTCTCTTTATCTTGACTCTTACCCTTTTTTCTAACTTTTTTTTTGTCTCCTCACCCAACTCTCTCAATGACTATTTTTCATTCTCCTTTTCCTTTATCTTTTACCAACTCTTTCATTTGTCACTGTTGCTATAACTGGACATAATCATAGGGGCGATCTGTAGTTCTGAATACATTACAAACTAAGCTCTATTTCAAGCAGTTGGAGGGGTGGGTTAATGGGGCCTGATTTTAGGCAAAGTTCCCCTCTGGCAACTAAGTCATGTTATCAGTTCACTTATTTCACTGTATGCCACTTTCTTTTGCCCTGCACTGTTCATTGAGACTGTCTTGGAGAGCCCATCAGATCTTGTAAACTGGTCATGCTTTTTCAACCTCCCCCCACCGACCTGGCACAGTATGAAAATCTTCTGACTACATACATGTCTGAGAGTTTTCCTGAATTCTTCATTACATGGTCTTTGTAGGTAATGGCAATAATAGCTGTTTCCTTGTAAGGAAACATTTGGCATTCATTGACTGTGCCGCTAGCATTACTTCAGTTAAAATTCATCAAATCTCTCTATTAAAACAATTTTCCAAGAAATAGCTTTCTTAAGTACACTTTTATTGCTCTTTCTAGTGTTGATGGGGGTTTCCTTCCTAACCTTTTGCTCGTAGTAGTGTGGAATGTTGATATGTTGATTATGTTATCATTTTTTCTTCAAGTCACATTTTACTTGTTATAGTTATTGGAAGCCTACAAGTAATTCGAATTCTGCTATTTGGTACAGATCTTTGTGATTCTACAGCATCAGTCCATGAGATTCAGTCACTATAAGCTACAGGCTTCATTTACTTGAAACCATCTTTAACCCTTGATCTGAGAATGCAGTTGGATATAGCTGACAGGTTTGGCAGCATACATGACATCCAGATGAAAGTCTATCTGAAAAGA